CCGCTCTTGCCTGAAAAAGTGTTACAGCAATGTGAGTGGAAATTGAACAAATATTAATCAGCATACATACATATGAGATCAAACATTTCAAGTTTATTTTATTTTATTTTTTTTTGTTTAAGCAATAGCAAGGACTATAGGTAAAAATAAGTACCTGTCTGGTGCCCAAGATCTGTATCTGATTCCAGCTTGTGTGAAGTTGTCCTCCTTCGGAATAGTGCGCTGTATTTGCAATCACCAAAAAACTCGATTAGAAAACTATGGATGGAATACTTCTGATTCTATCAAAACATTATAAAATTCTAATGATGATAAATTACCCTTTCACGCCTTCCATTGATGATAGCAGGAGGAAGTGGGAACCTCTCGGCATGGCGGACAGGATCATACCTTGATGGGAAGTAATCAATCTAAAAGCAGAAAAAAAAAATCATTTGTTCAGAAACAATCTAAATCAGGTAGGAAATCAAAAGCTATTGAAGCCAATGAGTAATGGAAAAAAAACTAAAAAAGGAAAAAAAAAACTAAAAAAGGAAAAAAATGAAGAAGATGACTACCTCCTCATCCCTGTGCATGAAGTTCATTGCACCATCATAGTGGTTGTTGTGATGAGCACACTTGGGAGCATTAACTGGGAGTTGAAGATAGTTCACACCGATACGGTATCTGTGAGTGTCACTGTAGGCGAAGAGACGGGCCTGGAGCATTTTATCATCTGAGTAGTGGATACCAGGGACAACATGGGCAGGGTTCATGGCAAGCTGCTCATTCTCAGCAAAGAAATTGTCAATGTTCCTGTTGAGGACCAAGCGACCAACTGGCTGCAGAGGGATGAGGTCCTCGGGCCAGATTGTGGTGGTGTCAAGTATGTCAAAGTCGAATTTGTCCTCATCCGCAGGATCAAGCGTTTGGACGTAGAGTTTCCATTCAGGGTAGTTTCCGGCAGCAATTGATTCGTAGAGATCCTGAGTGGCATGGCTGTGGTTGGTTCCTCCAATTCTAATGGCATCTTCCTCCAACAGAGACTTGACTCCGCAAGTGGGCTTCCAGTGGAATTTGACAAAGGTTGTTTTGCCAGCCTTATTGATGAAAGTGAAGGTGTGAACACCAAAGCCTTCTATGTGCCTGTACTCAATGGCGAAGCAAACAAAAAAAAAAAGAAAAAAAAAATGTTTTTAGTAAGAGCACAATATGAAAAACATAACAGATACATAATTAATTTTTCTTTTTTTTTTTTTTTTCGTTATTGGAGGCACAACTGAACTTTTTTACAACAATTTTAGACATAAAAGTTTGGTATTTCAAAATTCGAACCTGTAGTTGATTGGGATGCCGACATCGTCAAATAGCCAGGCAAAGGTGAGCATGCTTTCTGGGTGGAAGGACAAGAAGTCAAGCACCCTCCAGTACTCTTGGATGTGGGACTTGGGGTTGGGTTTGAAAGCGTGGATCACGTCCGGGAATTGGATCCCGTCACGGATGAAAAACACAGGGAAGTTGTTTCCCACAATGTCAAAGTTACCCTGCCAATACAAAGAACCAGGTCACATATCATGAACACAAAGGAAATACTTGGAAAACCATATGTACCAAGTATATACCAAGGTGGGAATTTCATTTTAGTGTTATAGAGGACCAAAAACTTCCACCATCCATTAAAAAGCAACATCTACTAAGTTAAGTGTCAAAAAGTCGGTAAAAGAGTTTATACAACAACTAGCATTACTCTTAACATAAACAGGGAGTAGTTTCAAAAAGACATATTTGAGCATTTGTTAAAGTAGCATGAAACAAAAATCCTTATATTATACCTCTCTAGTGTAAAACTTGGTTGCAAAACCGCGAGGGTCTCTAATGGTTTCAGGGCTGCCGCGCTCGTGGATGACGGTGGAGAAGCGGACAATGACAGGTGTCTGAACTCCGGGAGCTCGGAGGAAGTCGGCACAAGTGAGGTGAGAGACATCATGTGTCACCTCAAAGAACCCCTTGGCACTGGCTCCCCTGGCGTGGACAATGCGCTCCGGCATCCTTTCTCTGGTGAAGTTGGCAATTTTCTCCACCAGATGATAATCCTCAAGCAGAATTGGACCTGCCCATTAACATTAAAAACAAGTTATAATTTCTGTAAGATGCTAAGAAAGTTAATAATTTCATGGTACTAACTTATGAACTTCACTTGTTTAAAAAAGCAAACAATTCAGACCTTTTCTCAATCATGTTATAGGCGAACAGTTGACAAAGTTTGGACCGGTGGTTATTCTTTTGTGTTTAGTTTAGCTTCTTTTTTTTTCCCTTCTTTGCTTTTATATTTAGTTATATACTGTATACACCAAATTTAAATTCAAAGATATTTAAATAAATTAAAATAAAAACTTCAGAGAGAACAAATAAACAAATGCAAGTATGCTTAAACCAGTGGCTTTCATTTGCATAAGGTGTAGTTCACTAGTTTAATTCCCTCACTGTTCCCCGCCAAAAGAAACGGTTGGGCCTATGGACAAGCCCATCAACTCAACCTTCGAAGATGTGTGGGTCGAGTTAGCCCATCGACTAAGCCCACTTACGAGGCGAACTGAACCATCGTAGCTCGTTCTGAGCCAGGATCTAGTGGGCTTGTTCTTGCAAGTTGCAAGCAGCAGGTCGCAGTTGGACAATTCAGTACTGGGCCTAGAGAGAGGTTTTGGGCTCTTGGAAGTATTCCGCTGAAAAAGTTATAGATTACCCTTTTGACTCTCTTTCATTTTTTGTGTAATTTTTAGAATTTAAGAAATAATCATAAAATAGTATTTTTAAAAAAAAAAATATATATATAATAAATAAATAATTTATGAAACTAAATTAAGTAAATAATAAATTTTAAAATATTTAAATAAATAACAGTACGTCGTAAAATTTTTTACGACTTGTAAAAAGCTTTTTATCTACGATTAGGTAAAAAAATTTTGCCACTTAAAATTTTAATTTATTATTATTTTAATTCAAATAATTTTAAATTTTATTGTTTAATTGGAAATATGATGTTTACTTCTTTCTACCTTTAAAAAAAATCTTTTGTTGTGTTAAGGATCCATAGCGCATATAGCCCACTTGCCTGATGTTCCTTTTTTTCTTTTTTTCTTTTTTTCTCTCAACTTTTGTTTTTATTTACAGCTTTCCTATTTTTTCCCTAACGCTTTATTTTCGGTTCAAATTTTTAACTCTAAGCATAAAATTTCAACTTTACCCCTCCAAATAACCAAAAAGCTTTTTAATTATTTGTTATGAGATTTCTACGGTAGATTATGAAAAAATGAATTATTAATAAATTTTATTTTTAATCGTTAAATCTATATAAAAAATAATCTGTTTTTGTTATTTTTTTATTTTAATATAATTTTAATCAGAACTATTGATACGAGCTTCTACCATAAAAGAACCCTATTTATTATACCACTTGTAGAGTTCAGAGTATTGAATTTCAAATATATCAGTTGGGAGAAAAAATTGAGATTTCCGCTATATAATATTAAAAAAAAGATCTTATAGATTCTATCTTGAATCACGGGATCTAATACAAAGTATATCATATTCATATTTTATTATTTAATGTGATTTTAAACATATTTATCGTTTAGTGCTTGTGGTCCCTCACAAAATTCACACTTACAAAATACAGGAAATAGTTCAGTAATAAAGAGAACAAAATAAAAAACCGACATAAATTAGGAAGCAAAAATTCGATGGGGAAACAATGAACCGTGCGAGACTCGTGCCTAGCACGTCCCGCCTGCCGCATAAAAATATAAATATGTCTATACAATACAACAACTACGTACACGTACGTTTTGAAAAAGACAACAAAAAATAAAAACAAAATTAAAAAAAAACATCGCTATTAGATCTTCTGATGTGAAATGAATTCTAGTTTCAAAGAAATTATAGTCATATTTAGAATTGATCCTGTTTTTATTTTTTACATTTTAAAAAAAAAATGAATTTTTTTTAAAAACGGTGTTTGACGTAATAAAAATTAAAAATAAAAATGAAAATAATTTTTTAATTTAGTATAAAATGAAAGAAATAAAAAATAACTTTTAATCGTTTTTTATTTTTTATTTTTATTTTTTTTTCTCGAGCAGAGAAAAAGAGACAAACATTAATAAATTTTTTTATATTAAAAATAATCTTTTAATAAAATTATTAAACGTATTTTTAAAAATAATTTTTTATTTAAAATTAAAAATATTTTTATTTTTATTTTTTTTTCTCGAGCAGAGAAAAAGAGACAAATATTAATAAATTTTTTTATATTAAAAATAATCTTTTAATAAAATTATTAAACGTATTTTTAAAAATAATTTTTTATTTAAAATTAAAAATATTTTTATTTTTATTTTTATATAAAAAGTAAAATTATTTTAAAACGAATTCAAACGCGCAGCTCATACTTACATCTTAACCACGCCGCAAAAGATGAGACAAATGAAAGAGGAAGGGGCTTATTTGAAAGAAGAAGAAGAAAAAAAAAAAGCTGGTTACAGATTACCTCTAGCTCCGACCGTTAAAGCAGATTCGTTGTTGTAAACCGGAGCTCCGGCATTTGTGGTCAGGAAAGGAGAGTTGAAAGAACTTGAAGGTCGGTACTGATCATCATGAGTCATCAAACAACAAATAGACGGTCATCAGTCATCAGTATTTATATACGTATACAGATCAAGAACATCATGACCAAAAAAAACGTCTTCAAATGATCTCTTGCTAATAATAAAAGTTGCTGATCTTCTTTTCTTCTTCTTCGTCCGTCGTTGATTTGGTTAAAGTATTTTAACGGACTAAGATCCAAAAAAAAAAAAAAAAAACCATAGGTTTGAAAACTGAAAAGTAGTAGTAGTTTAAAGTTCAAGGTTTTTTTTTCTGGAGAAAAATATACAAAGTTATAAATAATTTACTCCAACGTTGTATGTTTTTTTCTTTTTTGTTTTTTCAAGTGGGTTTTTCAAACTTGAGTTGATTGATAATTAAAAATGAGCTTATAGACAAAACAGACACGTGTGGAAGTTTGAGAAATGTTTATATTTTACAATATTGTTTTTTTTTTCCTTCCCAAGATAATTATGAGTATAGATCAACTTGGATTTACAGAATATCTTTCGTTTGAATTAAAAATTAAAAAGGTTTGAAGAAGAAGAAGAAGTAGAAGAAGGAGGATGATCTGATGCCAAACTGAATAAAGAAAACAAAAATGCGTCACTCAGAATCCAACACTATCAAACTCACGGAAAAGTTTATAATGAAATCATCATCAAACAACGAGTTCCTTTCAAAATGGAGATTTAAAAAAAAAAAAAAAAAAAGAACTTAGATTATACAACAAATAGCTTAACAACTATATAATAAGAATACCTTGTATGGATCCATTGCAAGGAAGGTTTTGGTAGAGAGGAAGAGAGAGAAAATAGATGAGATGACAAAGAAGAGGCAAAGGCAAGGCCTTTCTTGGAGTGTGGCGAGCTCGGTTCTACTTTTGGGGCAATTTATAAAGGCTCAATGGCTAATTCTCCTTCTTTTTTTCACTTATTCCTACAGTAAAATTACTCCTAATTCTTTGCCATTTACTACTTATTCCAATAATTTTGGTAATTATCCTCTTATGCCCAATTCAGTTGGCACAAAATAAAAAGACGTTAGAAGGATTACAACCATGATATTGATTTCATCCGTTGATAAATTGTGGTCCCTACTCCAAAAAATAAAAGTAATAATAATTTGTGAGCCCCACGTGTGACTATGCACGGGAACTACGATTGACGCAAGTTGATATACTGTAGCCCCTTAGAAAAATGTTTTCTTCAATTTTATGCCCGGCATGCCCGTTCATTTCGTTGATTCGAGTTTAGAATTCGAGTTTTGTTACAATAAAAAATTCTCATAAATAATCACATCTAATTTTTTTACTACAGTAAAAAATTCGCTCACAATATCACATCTCAACTCGAATTAAAAACTCGAATTAATGAACCGAACGACCCTTAAGGTTATTAAAACATTATACCCTATATTATTAATTGTATCAAATTCATTCCTTCATATTTCAAAATCATGTTAAATAAATACCTTTTTTTTGGGTTAAATTTTAATTTTGACTGTCAAAAATACCTTGAATTTTTATTTGTTCGGGTTCTTTATTATTCTTAATCTTTTTTCTTTAAGGGAATTTAGGTGTTTTTTTTTGTAATTCAAATTTGATGACGGAGAAAAGGATAACATTTGAGCATGAATTTAAAATTTAAAGGTATTAGTATGATATAGTCTAAAAAATAATGTATGGTGTTTTGATAACTTTAAAATGCAGGTATAAAAATGAAAAAAAAAAATCTTTTTAAAAAAAAGTTTTGAAGATGAAAAATTGGAAAAACATGCCAGTAGGTGTTGATGATCCATCAGGAATTAGTATTATGGGCAGTGGGTGATCTGACCCATCATCTGCCATAGGAACCGATCGCAACTTGGCATCATAATTTAATCCCTAATGTTTGCTAGCTTCCAAAAGAAAGAAAATGGACAATAAAATATCACAACCTTAATTCTTTAAATAATCTATACTTATGGCAGTAGTTGGACATGGTCCCATGGACCACTGGCAAATATTGACACCGTTTTGGAACTAGGATAGTGATAAAACACATGTGTTGTTTTTTAAGAAAAAAATTAATAGACTTTTTCAGTAGAATCTCTCTATAAATATGTAAAATAGACAATTTTTTATACAGATTTAACAGTTAAAAATAAAAAAGACAAATTTTTTTTACGGATTTAACAATTAAAAAAAAGAATTATCGGTAGTTTATATTTTGTTAGTTATAATAGTAAAACTCCTAAAAAATTTAAAACTTCTAAGGATAGTGCTTTTTAATTGTTACATTATTGTGTTATTTCATGAAAATTGTTACTTTAAAAGTTAAACTGAAAGTGTTTGGTCAGCATTTTAAAAAAGTTTTCAAGTTAAAATTTGTACTATAATTTAAAAAAAAAAAACTTGTACTAGAATTTCAATAGAACTTTATAAACATTGTTCTAAAACTCTTTTTTGCTCACCAAAAAATTTAAATACCAAGCTCTATCCTATTATTTAAAAAATATGGTTTCATATACATACTGAAACACTAACATGTTATTTTTTTTCTTTTTTTTTTAAATAATAAAAGCAAATTGTTTTGAAATTAGGGTTACATATTTGAGTGTTAAATTATCTACAACCCTTCTCGTTAGCATTTTGTGAAATTAGGGTGACGTGTCGGCGTCTAAAAAATTGTTTTGAAAACGCTAGAGAGTTAACGCATCGTCGCGGGCTCCTACTTTTTCTGTGTGTGGAAAAAGTAGCAGAGTGATCTTTTGGATTTGACTTTTGCATAAAACGACAAATGCTAAATGGACTATTTACGACTGAAGGAAGGATACAGTTTGTTGATAAGATCATTAATGGGTTGTGAGCTTATCTTTGCCACAAAGATGCGTTTCTGTGGGGGCAACTTTAATATTTTTTGTTATCCTCTTTAGCCAAATAATCTATGCCAAATAATTCACTCGTCAAAGTTCAGGCCAAACATACATAGATATATATATACACGCACATATATTATATATATATATATATATATATATTCTGTATCTCGATTCTCGAGTTCTGACCCAATTAGAAAGACCGTTAATATTTTAATCACCGTAGAAAGACCGACAATATTTTAATCACCGCCGCCTGAACTCTTAAATTCTCGTCTAAGAGGATGTTTGATTGGAGAATTTAAATAATGTGATTCGAATTATTTTTAATTTATGTGAATTTTTTATGAGAAAAAATACTGTAGCGAACCATGAATCATGAATTCGAATCAGGGAACGAATCACTCTACTAAACATGCCCTTAATGTAATACTTTTTTAAGAAGATACATATTATTTTTAATTTAAGTTGAGGTATGATTTTATATGAAAATTTTTAATTATAATAGAAAAAGTTAAATGTAATTTTATATGAGGGTTTTTAATTATGACAAAATTAAATTAAAAACTCAAATCAGTGAAATGAACAAAACTAAAAAATAAAAAGAGATTCTGTCTAATTGTATTTTTTTCCTGCACTGTCTAACTGCATTTCATCTACAATACATAGTAGTATATTCCAAGTTCACGAAGACTGCTCTAAATATCAAATTATAGGATGATAAATTAGATTATGTGAGAACTTTTCAATGTAGTAAAAAAAATTAGATGTGACTTGAGAATTTTTTACTGTAATAAAACTTAAATTTTAAACTCAAATTGATAAAATAAACGAAACTTAAATAATTATTAATTGTCACATGATAAAAGTTGAAAAATAATTTGATGTAGTAAGATAACTTTTAAGTTTTGTCCGATAACTGAGGTTGGAGCAATACATACATCCTCAAAAAATTTGATGTATTGTAATTTTGCTTTCGTTTAACCAAAGTAAAAAACAACAAAAAGTGGCTCAAGTGGCTCAATGAAAATATTAAATATTTTCCTTTCGTATATAATATTTATATACAATATTTAAAATCACTTAAATAATTATAAAATTTTTAGTGATATTTATTAAATATTTAATAATATATGTATATAAAATAATAAATAAATTATTTTATTAAATAAATAATAAATATCTTATTAAATCTCATACTTATAAACACTATTCTCAATAATATCCTCCAACAATTTCATCGCCGTCTACTAAAACAACCGGAAATATTTCAAAAAAGGTAGGCATAAAACGTACATAAAATTCACGCCCTTTTTTTTCACTAAAGATCGGGTGTCCATATATAGCGAACAAACCAAATGTCACCTATGTCCAGCGCTAATGTCTTTAATGAAGGTTGTCATATGTTAGGTCAGTGGTTATAAACAACATCTGGTACATGTACATAATATAATATTACTTACCTTAGTTACGTGAGAGAAATGTACCGTCACTTTTTTTATTACTTTTTACATACATTTATTATCTAATATGTAAATTTTATTATCTTATTTTTTATTTAAATAATATATTAAATTTACGTGTCAAATAATAAATATAAAAAGAGTGACGTTATTATTATTATTTTTTAAATATTAAATTATGAAGCCAATATGAGTGTCATCGTCTCGCCCGATACCGTGTAGTTGCAATTTGCAAATGGCTTGGATTATGGTCACCTTTCATTTCATTTTAAAGGACAAAGGGGTCACAAGGATAAAATGACGTGTGGGGTTCGTTGCAATCGTATCATCAAGACCATTAAAATAAGTTACCCCACGGAATTAATCACTAATCAGTAGTTCCCAACTTGAGTTAGGATCTAATCCTTTTACACAAAAAAAAAAAAAAAAAAAAAAAAGAAAAGAAACCAAAAACAAAAACAAAAACTTGAGTTGGGATCTGTCCACACTCGTTGCTCTTAATTTTATGCAAAGAAATGTCGTTAGTGACACCGTCAAAATAGTTTATTAAAACTGCCCATCATAATAAAATAAGATTGTCTATTTCACGTTTTGCTATATGCTTTTATTTATTTATTATTATTTATATCTTTTACTGACGTGCAATGATAAATGGAAATACTAACTTGTATGGTTTTTATATTTGCGATGATAACTTTTGAACTCATTATTTGAGTAGAAATAGATTAGATCCTTTTCGTTTTATTGATGGTCCAATGATTTTTAAAATAAGAGGAGATAAAAGAACAACTTGACACTAATAATACCGTTTACTTGAGAAATATATATATATATATATATATATATATATATAAATGACCTTTAGAAAGGAAATATATAGGCCCTTCAAAAGTACTGCGTTGCATGGCACATGTTGCTGAGCCACGGCCAATTACTTAGCATAAGGAATTATGTTTTAAAGTTTATTCAGCCAATAAAGATTCAAGACTAAAACAATCATTAAAAGCAAGAAAATATCACACATTAAAAATAAAGACAAAGGGTAAATTCATTCACCTGGCTTTAACTTATGACTAAAATCAATATATATATATATATATAGTAAATATATGGAGCATCAGACATTGATATATTACCTTCAATAATATCATTAATAATTATGTGTACATGTCCTGATCATATATCTCTCTTGCCAGGAAGTTAATCAGTGATCACTCTGATAATTCTCATTCAATAACTTATATTTGTGCAACAAATAAGATAATTGGTTGGATAAAAAGCTAAGTAAAGAAGAAAAGGGATATTTGCAATTTTCAGTTTCGCTCTGCCGACTCCCGTGATTTCATGACAAATATTAAAATAATCATTAATGAAAGGAACTAATATTCAGCAAATGAATGCAATTTTTTTTTTTTTTTTTTTTTTTTGCTAGAAACAAATGAATACAATTAAGGCATCGTTCATTTCACCTATTTGAATTTTTATTTTTAACTTTTTATAGTAAAAAATTATCAAAAAATGTCATATTTAACTTTTTTTACTACAGTAAAAAATTCTCAGAAAATATTACATCTCAACTCGAATTAAAAACTCAAATCTGTAAAGTGAATGAA